AAAGGTATCTCAACCCAACTTATATAGAAATTTATTTAGTTGCCCCAATTTTACTTTTTTTTTTTTTTTTTGTATTTTTAATTTTATGTTCTTTTGTTTTTCTGCACCATCCATCCCCTGCCCCCTGTTCTACTTTGTTCTGTTGGACCCTGCGGTCGGTAGTTTTGTGGCCATGGTCATTATGGAACTTGCACTAGAATTCCTGGTTACATTTATTTGAGTCAGTTATCATCTCATTTAGCCACCTAACTTTATCTCTGATCTCTCTAAGTACTGCCACTAGCTCGGTGGTGCTGACGTTGAAGTTGTAATCGACCAACTTTGGCCAAAGATGATACCCACTGATTTTTGATATTTTCAGTTCTTTTTCTGCTCGATAAGGTACTGTGTCAGTCTTCCATCGGGGATTTCTATCGTCGCGACTTGACCTAGGCCTCTTGTCATTCTCCCGGCCCATAGGACATGAATAGGGTTCATACCGGGCATTAGAATCTCGATGCGTGGGCTCATCCCGTCTGCGAAATATTTTGATCTAGTGGTTACATTGTACCACCTATTTGGCTTCAAATTGCGAGAGTGCCGAGACATTATCCTCTATTCGAAGCTTAGTGCTTTATTTGTGGTACATGTCATTCCATGTTTTAGTAGAGAATTCTATAGGCTTTCTTTCAATTTCTTTGAAGCTTTAGAATGACTCAGGTTCAAGTTTCTCGTAAAAGCTATGACAGACCCAAATGTCTGGTACTTCAGGAAGTAATGTCCTCTTCCTCTAAAATCGATTGATGAAATCACGGAGAGACTTCGTTCTTCCTTGCACGACTTTGAAGATATACTCCACTTTTTAGGCTCCAGAGTGGGCCTTGATGAAAGCATCTACAAGTTCAGCAAAAGAATTAATGGAATTTTCAGGTAAATGGGAGTACCAGGTTAGTGCTCTCTTTTACGGGGTCTTTCTAAACTTATTGATGAGCACTTATTCGATCTTGTCCTTCGTGAGGTCATTCCCATTAATTTAAGTCGTATACGCCATGACGTGATCACGTGGGTCCTAGGTCCCCTCATATTTTGGGATGTACGACATTTTGAAATTCTTGGGGATTGGTAGCGGAGCCGCACTTGGCTTCCACGATTGTTGTGAATATCTGTTGATGTGAATGCCTTTGATAACAGGTGGAACCCCGGGAATCTGCTAAATTCTCTTGTTCTTCTCCTTTATTTATTGCTACAAGATTAGTATTAAACTATGTAGCTCAGCATTTTTGGATCTGACCGACCCTCCGGCCACGAAATTATCAGGAACCCCTGAAGCCTTGAGTAGTGAATTAGGGGTGTCTGTGACCCGTACCTCTCCTGTCTGTGGGGTTGGAGTCCTGTTACGGTTGTTACTTTCCATTAATGCATTGAACATCATATCCATTTTGACATTCAAACTCTACTGCTGAGCTGTAAAGGATTTCAAGGTTTTTCCCAAGCTCGGTGGGTCCAAAGAATCCCTTCGTGGCGAGAATTTTCCACTCTGCTCGGTGAAGCTGTGGGCTGGAAAGTTCGTGTGAGAGGGAACATCTTTGGATTGTGACATATCCTTTCCAGGTAATGCTCCTTTGCTGGGTGTTGCCTCGTTACTAGCCGGGACCTTCTTGCCAGTAGGCATGACCTATTTTTCCTGGGGGTTCACGGAGTCCTCTGGCTGCCACTGGGTTATGAGGCTTTGCTCTGATCCATTGGCTGAATGTTCTTTCTAGTCATTCTGAGTTATAAAATGGAAAGGAAATTGATAGAAAAGTGAAAGATAATCCTTCATAATGAGAACAAGAACTCTGAATCAAATGCTCAATTGCTAGGGCTCCACAGTGGACGCTAAACTGTTATCGAAAATTAGTTTTAGGAATACAACAACAACAACAACAATAAACCCAGCATAATCTAATAAGTGGAGTTTGAAGAGGGTAGTTTGTACATAGACCTAAACCCTACCTTTTAAGGTATAGAGGTTGTTTCAGGAATAAACATTAAAGTTATTTTCAATGAGGTCATTAGTAACCGGTTCGAATCAAAGTTTAATTAAGTGAATCGTGGAATTAAGCTAATAAAGTTGTGAATAATGTAATAAAAGTAGGCAAGTAAAAGATGAAAAATCTTATTGATCTCCACCGAGAGCCTCAATACTTGCAAAATAAAAAAAGATTGCCCAACAATAGTACAATAGCCTTTAGCAAAGAGTAAGTTCGGTAAATTGTGAGTTAATGTACAAGTAGATGGAATGGAGGTATTTATAGCTCAAGTCTAATGTTGACATAATCATCCCCACTTTCGCACATCACTCTTATTGATTAGTAGCCGCCGAGACACTTGCCGGTTATGGGTGGAAAATATGGCATAGTAGATGCGAGTGCATTCCTAGCGTTACGGGGACGTTTGAGGACCAAGTCAAGTTCGAGCCATGATTTCATTGATAAATCCCTAGAACTATCTTTGGGGTGCGGTACCGAGGCATAATGCTAGTTTATCCGGGGACGAGTTAACGAACTGTGTGTATTTCCTACGAGGATCAAACTCCGATGCTATCTTGCTCTTGAGATACAACTTATTTCAAGTCGTGTCATCATGCGATATATCCGCGTATCAAGAGTCGAATTTTACCAATACAATTATTAATATGAGTTATAAATGTGTTCCACTAATTGCTTGACCTCTGTACTTGTTTACTAACGATTATACTCCCCCAACCCAATAAGTCGAACCTACACAGCTAGCTAATTTAATTGCAAGCGGAAAAAAAATCCTCATTTTGATAACACAACAATCTTTTCTTATTTCTGTTTGCATGTTTGCTTTCCTTGTCAGTGTTTATGCAATGTCTCGTATCTTTAGGACATGAATTAGCATCCTTTGATTTTTAACAGAGACATGTCAAGAACAGAAGAATCCATTTACTTAGGCAGCAAATATTTAATTAGTACAAGAAGCTGCCACTGCTTCGAGTCAATTTTCTGTCCCTACTTAAACCATGAGATGGGTAGAAGTTGAAGATTGGTCTCTGATTATTATAACATGTGGAGTTTTTCCTGTTGAGCACTGCCACTGACGAGTCAGGTATAATATTGAACCCTACCACCACCAGAGATAGAATTTAGGGATTTAAATGTTATGAGTTTGCATATGAAATTCCATCGCATTAGTTTTTAATTGTTAGAATAAGAAATCATCATGAGAGTACAGATTTTCAATTAGGGTTCATGAGAAAGAGAAAGGGGAAAAATTATTTCTTTATGCAGAGAAGAAGTGTTCTTGTTATCTTTACAAAAATGAAAATATGAAGGAATACTCTAGAATGTTAATTAGCCCCTATTTATATTGTGGGCCTGTACAATGTAAGAAAAGGAAAAATGAAGCTGTTATAAAAAAAATACGGGCTAGGCCCAATCGTTCCAGCTAGCCCAGTCGCCCAATCCAATCATCAGGTAACTCCAACATCCCCCCTCACGTTGGAGGGTGGACAAACTCCCAACTTGCCAATCAATGCGCGATGGGGTAGACTTGTCAAAGGTTTAGTAAAGATGTCAGCTAGTTGAGACCTAGTAGAAACATGGGACAATGAGATAAGACCATCTGCCAACTTTGTTCGAATGAAATGGCAGTCGACTTCGATGTGCTTGGTACGTTCATGGAGCACCGGGTTCTTGGCGATATGAATAGCAGCCTGATTGTCGCACAAGATAGGAATTGGGAGAACAACAGAGAGACCCAAATCAGATAACATGCGAACTAACCAGGCTAACTCAGCTACCACTCTACTCATGGCTCTATATTCAGCCTCAGCTGATGACAAGGAAACAATGTGCTGCTTTTTAGACTTCCAACTGATGAGGCTACCACCCAATTGAATGCAAAAACCAGAAATTGAGCACCTAGACTCGGGACAAGCTGCCCAATCACTGTCATAACTGGCCATCAAAGATAAATCAGTAGAATTATTCAACAAGACCCCAAAATCAGAAGTCCCCTTTAAGTATCTCAAGACATGTAAAGCTGCAGTCATATGTGGAATTCTAGGTCTCTGTAAAAATTGACTCAAGTGTTGGATAGCAAAACATAAATCTGATCAAAAAATTTAGTTTACCAACTAGGCTCCTATAACTTTCAGGATGAGGCAGTAGGTCCCGAACATCAGAGTGTAACTTTTGGCTCATGTCCAAAGGACTAACAACAGGAGAAACATCAGCACACTTGTATTCTGATAGCAAATCAGAGATAAATTTCTTTTGAAACAAAAAGAATACCTGATTGAAGATAACAAACCTCAATACCCAAGAAATAGTTAAGCAATCCCAAGTCCTTAATTTTAAACTGAGCATCCAAGAAAGTTTTAAGAGAAGAAATTTCTTTCAAGTCATCCCCAGTGACAATGATGTCATCTACATAAACAGCTATAAGGGTAGTAAAAGAGTCAGTTTTCTTAACGAACAAAGAGTAGTCGTTCAATGAGTGATTATACCCCCTAGAGTAGAGTGCATGAAATAGCTTCGCGTACCATTGTCTAGAAGCCTGTCTCAAACCATAAAGAGACTTTTGCAATTTGCAAACCAAAGTAAGAGACTTAGAAGAAACAGAAGAAATAGAAGAAGCAGAAGATGTAGAAGTAACAGAAAGACCTTGAGGAAGTTTCATGTAAACCTCTTCATCCAGATCCCCATGCAAAAATGCATTATTAACATTCAAGTGAAATAAGGGCCACTGTTTTTTGACAACTACAACAATCACACATCTAATAGTACACATTTTAACAACGGGAGAGAAAGTTTCATTAAAATCAATGCCTTCCACCTGAGTATCACCTCTAACCACCAATCTAGCCTTGTATCTCTCCACACTACCATCAGCTTTGTATTTAATTTTATGCACCCACTTGCATCCTATAGGCTTTTTTCAGCAGGTAATTCAATAATTTTTCAAGTTTGGTTTGTATCTAGGGCCTCAAATTCTTTCTTCATGGCCTCTTGTCAAGCAGGAATAGCAGCAGCCTGAGTGTAAGAATGGGGTTCTACTGTAGTAGACATGAGTGAAGAGGAAGAACATGAAGCAGAAGGGAGCTGGACCACATAATCCTTCAAGTGAGAAGGGAGCTGATGGGTTCTGGAACTTTTTCTGACTGCAAGGCCAGGAAGAACTATTGATTCGATAGGAACAATAAAATGAATGGGAGTAGGAACATCAGGATTGTGGACAGAGTTAGGAACATCAGGAGTGTCAGGTATTGGAGAAGGAGGTAGAGGGAGATCTGGAGGGATAGAAGAAGCAGTAACAGCATCAGCATCAGCATCAGCATTAGAATCATAAAAAAATAGGCATTGAAGGAAGAAGATGAGAAGGAGCAGAAGAAGGCAAAGTATAAGGAAAAACACATTCATGAAAGATGACATCCCTAGAGTATAGAACAAACTTAGTAGTGAGATTGTAAAGTTTGTACCCCTTTTTAGCAAAGGGATAGCCAATGAACACACAAGGAGATTCTTTAGGTTGGAACTTATCTCTATGACACTTGGGAACACTAGCATAGCATAGGCACCCAAAAGGTTTTAGATGAGAATAGGAGGGAGCAGCCCCATAAAGTAATTCAAATTGGCATCTTATTAGAGAAAACTTTAGAAGGAAATCTATTAATAAGATAGGTTGCTGTTAAAACATAATCTCCCCAGAACTTGGTAGGAAGATTAGATTGAAACAACAAAGCTCTTGAAGTTTCTAGTAGGTGTTTATGTTTTCTTTCTACCACACCATTCTGTTGTGGTGTGTGTGGGCAAGTTGTTTGATGTATGATACCATTATCAGAAAAAAATTGAATGGATGTATTGGAGGAACCAAGCTCTAAGGCATTATCACTCCTAACCTTTTGGACAGAAAAGTGAAACTATGTCTTGACCATGGCTACAAACGCTTTAATAAAATAAAGGCATAGCTCTTGGAGTGCAAAAGATGTGTCCATGTTGCTCTGTTATAATCATCAACTATTATCAAAAAATATTTTGCTCCAGAGTAAGTTTGGGTGTGGTATGGTCCCCAAGTGTCAACATGAATAAGTTGGAATAATGAGGTGGGATGGGAAGAACTATCTGGGAATGATAACCTAGGTTGTCTAGATAAAGGACAAACATGACAAATAAAGGACTGTTTAGCATACAATCATTAGAGATAGAATGTATATGCTTCATTTGAACAAATGGAACATGCCCCAATCTATGATGCCAAAGAACATCATTTATATTCACATTATTTGGAACAGTACAAGAAGGTAAAGTAGAAACATGACATGAATTCTCAGTTTGCACATTTGGAACAGTAGCACAAGGTAAAATAGGAACAGAACTGTGGTTCGCATTTTGAACATTTCCATGTAAAGAAAATTCAGCATTCTGTACTTTGTTAGTAAAAGGAGAAACAAAGTTATTAGGAGATGAGACTGTTGGAGGAGCAGAATGGTTGAGGTGAAATTTGTATAATCCTTGATCCATTCTACCAAGCTCCAGAAGCTTCTTCATAGAATGGGCCTGTAGAATTATGCAAAAAATAGAAGTGAATAGCACATAACAATTGAATTGTGATATTACCTTGCTCACAGAAATGAGATTGTAATGAAAAGATGGAATATATAAAACATTGTGTAGAGTGATAGATGGTAACAGAGTAAGGGAACCTGTATAGGTTACCTTAACTTTATAACCATTAGGTAAAGAAACTAAGTAAGGAACAGGAAGAGGTGTAATATTAAAAAGGAGGTCCTTATTTGAAGTCATGTGGTCAGTTGCCCCTAAATCCACTATCCAAACCCTTCCAGCTACACTAGTCAACATGCGCATAGTAGAACTACCATTTAAATACACAGGAAAAGAAGAAAAACTACCAACAAAATTGGCAGATCGCATTAGAATAGGTTGGGACCCTGAGTCACCTAATGTAGACTGACTGAGCAATTGCATCAACTGGGAGTACTGCTCTTTGGTTAGACTAGGGATCAAAGAGCTTTGATTAGTAGGAGAATACATTGCAGAAGGTTCAGAAGTCTTCTTGCAGCAGTACCAAACTTCTTACCCTTTGTGAATTTGAAATTTGGTGAAAAGCCATGTAATTTGTAGCATTTCTCAATTGTATGATAAGGTTTCTTGCAATACTTGCAATACAAAGTAGCATTGGAGTTGCTTGAATCAAAGTTCACCCTTTGTGTATATTGTTTTGTAGATGAGAGTTGAGAAGGGAATCTGTTATTGTTGAAATTTGCATTAAAAGAGGCTAATTCTGGATTAAGTTGAGCATTGGGGACAACCTGTCTCTGTTTTTCATCTCGCAACAAAATGTTATAGAATGTATCAAGGGATGACAATGGTTGCATCATTAAGATGTTGCTTCTTACCCCCATATAAACCTCATTAAGACCCACGAGGAACTGGTGAACCCTGTCCTCTTCTTTATCCTTCTGGAGTCCGTCCTTAGCAGCACAAACACAAGAATTTGCATGGCTGGTACACATAACCCCCAATTCATCCCAGGGTTTTTTAAGTTTGTTGAAATAGGAAGCTATGTCGAGAGTCCCTTGATAAGTAGATGCATGTTCTCTCTTTATTTCAAACACCTTAGTTCCATTAACAGTCCCATATCTATTATTCAATTGTTTCCATATACTTTCAGCAGTTTCAGAATATTGTACACTTTCAGCATATCTGGAGAAAGAGAATTGATTAACTAGGATATGACCATATTATTGCACTTGTCCCACTGCCTGTACTGGAGAGAATCCACAGCATGCTTGGTGCAAGACCCATCGATAAAACCTATTTTGTTTCTAGCGGACAAAGACACAATCATACTCCTCCTCCAACCCCCAAAACTAGTCCCAGAAAAAGGCACAACAACTAAAGACACCCCCGATACATCAGAAGGAAGGAGAAATAGCGGACTTGAAGGTTCAGGAGTATAAGCAGAGGAGGAAGAACTTGAGTCTGGAGTGGAATTAACCATGATAACAGAATACAGCAACAAAATTTCACAACAATGAATTCAGGCAAGAGAACAAATAGAAATGATTGTACCATACTTCTTCACAACATGAAGAAGAAAGGCCTTTAGAAACTTCAGCTTGAAAAGAGAATTTCAGCCTTAGCAAAGACCAACAAAACTCTGTTAATCGCCGAAAACCCTAGCTTTGACGAAGAGCACAAAACTCCGATAATTAGCAGCAAATTCTGACCAAAATAGAATGACACAGTCGAGTAGGAGTTCCTTAACTCGTAAATTGAACAAAAAATCGACGAAAAATGTCAGATTCTGAATCTCAGCGAAAATCAAAGCAATGAAGATATATCCGATGAAATTTGACGAGGGTAGCATCGGTCAATGCAGAACGTCGGGGACTACCAGATTACCTGCTCTGATACCATTTTAGAATAAAAAATCATCATGAGAGTACAGATTTTCAATTAGGGTTCATGAGAAAGAGAAAGGGGGAAAATCGTTTCTTTCTGCAGAGAAGAAGTGTTCTTGTTGTCTTTACAAAAATGAAAATATGAAGGAATACTCTAGAATGTTAATTAGCCCCTATTTATATTGTGGGCCTGTACAGTGTAAGAAAAGGAAAAATGAAAGCTGTTACAAAATAAATACGGGCTAGGCCCAATCGTTCCAGCTAGCCCAGTTGCCCAATCCAATCATCAGGTAACTCCAACAAATATATTGCAGAGTTTAAACTAAAATTATTAGGTACAAATGAACGCATAACTCTTTCGGTAGATTGAGCGGTGAAACTCGTGTAAAATATACTCTTCTGACAGTTTTCGGTATTTAGCTTTCCAGATATTCATTTTGTATATAATGTAAGCAAGGCGTATCTTTTCTGGTAACTTAAATTTTTAGATGAAATGAGTACATATTCAAATATGATATTAGAGCAGATAGACTCATAAATTAAAATTTTAAGAAGTTATTTGGTCGGATCTGTTTTTCTCAGAAGTTCTTTACACATCTGAAATTGTGTAAATATACATCTAGGCTAATCGCAACTTTTCTCTCTATTATTATCCTACCTAAAAAAATAAAAGAAGTCACATAAGATGAAGAATCACATTAAATGTTTCCCAGTCAGAAACAGCAGCTGGATATTCTCTAAGCCAAAATACTTACTGGGCGCTCTTCTTGTCCAATCAGAAATTCGAAGCTCGATTACCTCAAGACAATGGCAAAATAATCAGTATAATACTAGTAACATGCATGTAACTTAAAGAGGACAAAGAGACACCTCACCCGTTTTAGGATTCCTCTCTACTTGAAAAAACTCCTTATTTTTAGTGGCGGAGGTAGCTTATACGGTGTCAATCAAAATTAATATTTCCACACGAAACATGAATATACATGTGCAAAGTAATTGAAATTTTAATAGTATATGTTCTCTCATAAATTCAGACTTTCCATAATTTAAATTCTATATCAAAAGTTTAAATTATGAAACTATCTTTGCTCAATTTCATTTTTTTTAATCTCCAAACTATTGCACTCTTTATATATTGTATAATGTATTGAAAGAAATAGCTGCGTACTCTAGTACTAATCCTATTTGATAAGTCATTCGAATACTTTTACTACAATCTGTTTGTGCTACAAAATTTGTGATCTATAGTGTGTCATGTGTAGGTTTTAAATGTATAAATTTTATTTGAATTTTTTTTAAATCGATCGATGCTCTAATTCACCAAAAATAGGATGGGTCGGCCTTCGTACCACCGAATGTCACTAAAAAATGTTCATATCTCATAATCTTTTTAAATAGTTCCACTCGACATGCATGAGACGCGTATGTGCTTAAGGTTCGAAGGATTAAGGTTTCTTTATCTTGTTGTAAGATGTTTTGATAAGTTATGTATATTTTGTTTTGATGATTTAACAAACTTCATATGAGAATCAGATAGGGAAACTTATACAACTAGCCTCTCTGCGTTCAGAACAACAAGTTAAATATCTGGAACAAGTTTCAATGAAATTAATTAAGGGAACAACAGAGGGAACAAATAGATTTCAGTTCCTCCAGTCACAGTACAAGTCAACTCTTACAGCTGTTAAAGATGTTGCACTGCACATGCAACAGTACAACAGCACTGTTGAAGCATGTTGTGTACTGGACACTCCCTTGCATCATTTTTCATGACCTCACTTATATATTACCAACATGAGGCAAGGGATTACATACACTTGCAAACCCTAAACCATTATTCACTCTCAAATGTGTAGTCGCCTTTATTCTCCCAAATGCAATGAAGAACAAAACTGCAACATAACGAAGGACCAGATCCTAACATTGATTACATCGTGTGTCCTTAGTATTAATGTGTCTTTGTGTATGTTATTTACTTGTAACTCCTACTCAGCTTATTTAGAAGCATCCCGTAGGACACTTTGTAAACCATAAACCTTGTGTTTGTGTTGACTAGCGTTAGTCAAGTGGTTAGCTTTGTAATAGAGTTATTACAAAAAGGCTTGCATTATAGTTATTGTAAGTAGGTGAAGGATTAAGAGTTTAATTCCTAGGTCACAATAGGTTGTAATCTAAAGTTTCTCAGTTAGTAAAGTTGAAATCCTACGAGTGTAGGTCGTGCTTTTTAATCCATTGAGCTTGGAGTTTTTCATGTAAATATTATTGTGTTATTTACTTATTGTTGTGTGTGTCTGTAGGAACTGATAGAGAACCAATTTCTCTATACATTTTGGTGGATTCTTAGTTTACATCAATCGATATCAGAGCGGGTTCTTTATATAAGGTTAACACCTAGAAATGATCTATATGGATGCTCTACTGAATTTTGAAGAAGATTAATTAACCTGCAGATAATCAAGATTCAATGGACAATACTACGGCTGATGGAAGATAAAAATGCATGATTTGATCATGGCAAAAGATTTAGAGCTTTGGGATATCATTTGTAATGGACCCTTTGTCCCTATGAAGAACATTGGCGAGACAACAATCGCAGTTCCAAAGACAAGGAAGGAATATAATGATATTGATCATAAAGCCATCGAGAAAAACTTCAGAGCAAAGAAGATCCTCATCTGTTGCATTGGACCAGACGAGTACAACCACATCTCAGCCTGTCAATATACCAAGGAGATCCGGAGGCTCTCCAAACTTCACAAGAAGGAACCACTCAAGTCAACAGTCAAAAATCAACATGTTCACTACTAAGTATGAACTCTTCAAGATGAATGAGGATGAGTCCATTCAGGACGTGCATACTCGCTTTACTTCCATCATCAATGAGCTTCCCTCTCTTTGAGATATTACCCCAAGGAAAAAACTAGTCATAAAAATACTCAGTGTGTTACCTGGTTCCTAGGAGAGCAAAATCAATGCTATCACGAAAGCTAAAGATCTGCAAAAGCTGACGATTGATGACCTCATTGGAAATCTGAAAACTTATGAAATGAAGAAAAAGAAAGATCATAAAAGAAGAGAACCCAAAAAGGAGAAGAATATGGTTCTTAAGGAAGACAATAATGGCTCAAGTGGTGATGATGCTGACATGGCCTATCTTACACGGAGATTTCAAAAATGGTTCATATAAATAGAGGTATCCCTAAGAAAGGCAGCTCTAGCAGAAACACAAAAAGCTATGATTGTTGTTACAAATGCGGGAAGCCATGATATTTCATCAAAGATTGCCCTCTCCACAAGCAGGACTATTACAAGCACAACACAGACAAGATGGTTAAGACGAACCTAGTCCCCGACAGAAGATTAAAGAGAGGAGATGTTGCTAATAATGTTTTGAAACAAGCTCTTGCCTCCTGGAGAGATTCCTCTAGTGAATCTGAGTGTGATGATGAACAAGGTGACACCTCCATGATGTCCCTTGAAAGCGAAGTTGCAGAATATGATTCCATATTTGCCCTGATGGAAAAATCTGATTAGGATGAAGATGATGTTGATGATGAGGTACACTTTATGGACATTCAAAGAAATTTGAAGTCTTATTCTCAAAAGAAGCTAATATCTTTAGCTAATGTCTTAATTGATGCTTAACACAACCTCATTAATGATAAAATTGGTTTAACTAAGGAAATATGAGAGATGATCTGCAGGTCATAGTTGTTGATTTGAAAGGAACAATATAGGAGTTAAAGAAAGATAAAGATGCTTTAACTCAGAAAATCGAAGAAATAGAACATGACAGAGATGATATGTTGGTAGTAGTAGTGGATCTGAAGGAAATAGTAGAGGAGTTAAAGAAAGATAATATTCCTTTAAAAACATCAATGAAAATTGCATGAACTCCTCAAAAGAAAAGGAAGTGGCAAGTGAGGCACATCTTAAGCTTGAAAATGAACTCAAAAAGGTAAAACTGAGTCTTTGTGCTAAACTTGAAAGAAATAGACAACTTCAGGAAGATTTAAGTAGGGTTTAACAATTGATCTAGATAAATCTCATAAGTGGACCTAGTCCTCTAATACAATCACTTCCATGTATAAAAGTAATGGAGGGAACAGGCAGGGAATAGGGTTCCGAAAAGAAAAGGCTGCCTACAACCCACATAGCAAGTAAGTTATTGTTCCTAACAATTGGATTTGCACTCACTGTGGTAATAATGGTCATTATAAAGATTCTTATAAAGCAAGGTTTTAGTCCCAATAGAAAAACAAAGTTTTTGTTGAAAAGGTATCTACTGCTAAGTGATAAATGATGAAAAATGCATGTTTTTGAGTACTTTTGCATATTATCTCTTATGTGAGTTGCTGGATATTACATGTTTATAAATATATAATATGCTCATTTCATGTTTATTGTGGTTAGGCATGAATTTGGATGAAATTTGGCAAGAATTGGATGATTTGTTGCAAAAAGCGTAGAGATGCAAGACCTGGGAGCGTGCCACAATTGGTGCATTACATGAACGTAGGCGTGAAATATCCTAAGAGATGAACGAAAAACAGCAAATTATGGAGGTTGGCGCTGGACCTGGCATGCGAAAAAATAA